AGGAAAGGGAAATGGGGATGAGGAAGGTGATTTCAAGTCACCTACAGCATCTCCTGTTGTGAGCCTGGCCAGTTCCCAGCTGCCTGGACATCCGTAAAGCTGTGTGACTTTCCACTCTCCTGCCTCTGGCTTCGGGTTTCTTCTACCACTAAGAAAAGCAGTTAAAATTTTGAAAAATTGCCTGAGCTGCCCTAGTCAACACAAAAGAAGAAGGATTAGTTCAAGAGCAGACTAGCATAGCTTTTGACCCAAGTGCTAGTTAGATAATGGCAGAGACAAGCACATTCAAAATATAAAGATATAAATTAGGTAAATTTTCACATCTGGTTCAAGGGACCAGGAAGAATTCTCATCACAGCTTGTAGCTTCCCCAAACTACCCATCTCTTTGGACAATACTAATTCCATTTCGCATCTCAAAGGGCAGTATAGCAGATACATCAATACCTAAATAACATGTATTTTCTTAAAAGAAATTACAGCATAGACTTGTACTAAAGAGGTCCCTCAAGCCTGTCTGCCTAATGACTTTCCATGAGCTTCAGCACCCAGCACCCACACTCCTCCCAGGTTAGATCTAAAAGGCAAACATCACTTAACCTTCACTGCCTAGGGCAAGAGTGGCAAAAGGACATGGAGAGTCCCAGCCTCACCTACCAGGATGCCCCAGTGTCCTGATGGTATCTGCAGGAGCTCCTGGTGCAGAGGACAGGAGACACTCCCTGTCCCCCTGCAAAGGACCATGGCCTCTCACAGAGGACCAAAACCAGGCATAAATGTCACAATTTCAACTGCTTTTAATCAAATTTTCCTGTAAAAGCAGCAAAGGTAGTCAGCCATAATCTTTGCTAAGAGGCTGAACTCAAAATGATTTGAAACGGGTGCTGGTATCCAAGCCAGATACCTTTCAGTATCAAGAGCACAGACATAATATATCAGGTATCACTTTACGGCGTGAGTTTTAAATACGTTCTATATGTGGAATCACATATTCACATGCTGAAATGGACAACACATTTAATGAGTAGCCCAGGTGGCTACTGCAGATTTTGATTTAAAATGAGATTGCCAAGACCAGAACTTACTTGCCAAAATGGAATTCTCTTCATGTGCTCTCTTTATATTACTTCAGATACCCACCTCTTACCAAAGCAGAAAAATGTCATATAAAGGATCTCTATTTATATAAATTAATTGACTGGTTTTTTCCATACATACTTTGCAGTGTAAATGGTCTATATTTGGACATATTCCATAACTAAAGGAATGAATATTACTTTGAACCCATAAGCTGAAACCAAATGATTTCTGCTTATTCTGCTCCCAAACTGCTCTATGTATATTAGATACATAAATCAAACCTTCCTAAAGTGGCAAACAAGCAACCAAAATTTTATCAGTTATAATCTGGGAAAATCAGTTGGATATTATTTTTTTTCTGGCAGTCCCCTAAGTATGTTAGATGTCAATACCTCACGTTTCTTAAATACTTTTAGATAAAAGTGGATGTATTAAATAGTTACAAGATCCTGTGAAGATATTAAAATGAGTGATGCTTTGAGAATTTGATTTTTAATGTCATTAAAATATTTCATTAATCAGGGATGAGAAAAAGAGTTGTTATACTCGAAGTAGCATGCAAGGGAAGCAGTTAAGTACACCTGACCTGTCTCTGGCTTTCATATTGTTCACAAGTGCTACAGATATTCCACCCACTCCTCCAACAAGAAAAACACTTAGAGGTGGAAATACTAGTAATTAAAAATGGTGATACCTTCAAAAAGCTGCTATTTAAAAAAAAACGTCAGGTACATGGAAAAACGAGTTGCTCCTATTTGGCACGAGCCACTCGCCAAAACTCATGGTGGTCCCTTGTTTCACTGTTATGGTCAGAGGTGTGAATGAAACAATACCAGGCACAATACCAGGGCTGCTGCATCCATGCTTGGCCTTTTCCCTGCTGATCTCAGTGAGCAGCACCCCCTGGGACACCAGAAGCAATCACTAGTGGTTCCCAGGCAGTCACCAGAGTGGCCAAAATGCCCTTTGAGACTGGGAGAGGGAGCCCAGACGTCACCCTTCCGGAACTGACAGGTGAAGGGGATTTTTAACCAAAACAGGATGAGTGTTTAGATAGTTGCTGGGGAGGATAAGATCGCATCAGAAGTGGCTTCAACTCACACTTGTTCTGTCCTATTCGTGGGCTTCTGCCACTCAGAGTGACCTGGTAGCACCCTCGACCCACAGCACCAGGCTTCTTGCCCCACTCTCAAGGGCTGGATCTAAGCTAGTGGACATGGTTCCGTGAGCTGACCCAACTGTGGATTTTGCTATTTTGGGCAGGCTAATTTTCCATTAGCCTGCTCTGCTGCTCCATAATCAATTGATATGACTCGAAGGAAGCAGCAAGAACACATGACAGAGTAAGACAGATTGAGGCCACCCTTTCCTTAGGAGCCTGCTGTTCCATCAGATTAAATGTAATGTGAAACCTATGTCTGCAGTGGTGGTGAAAACGCTGCCTATGAAATGCATATAGCATATACCTAAACAGGGTTCCAGCCTGACTCACAGCTTCCTGTTCCTGTGCTGCGTGTCTGAGGCATGCCAGAGCTCTGCATGGTTTGAACAGGGTGTCTTGGCCAGCACAAATCCAACAAGAAACACTTCCTGCCTTTAGCCCCTCGTTCATCTACTGAGACAAATACAGACGGTAGTAGACTTCCACTATACATAGAGTGGATGACCTTTTCTTCAGGCAGTGAGATAAGGTTTAGATAGGAAAAGGCAGATCATGTGGGTTGAGCTCCATCAGTGTGATCCCTGAGACAACCTAAATATCATTTTAGCCATTTCTGATTGACCCTTTTAGTGGGAACTGGTGGTACTTATTTCATTGAACCACAAAGGCTTGCGCTTCCTCCTACTATATACCGTTATCAGGACTGTTACATCTTTCTTGTTCTATAGCTGTTGTGGTTAGCCACAGAAGGATTTTGAAAGCCTGCTGGATGCCAAAGGGAAGTCTATCTGGATTTGGCTAGCTGAAGAGATTTCCAAAGTCAACCTCAGGTATCAGTGCAGATGTACATGGTAGCTTCTACAATTAGTTCTGATCATCTGTTAGAGGACTGGTGTGTGATGGAACAGAGATGAGGTTAAAGGCAAAACCATTTACACTTTGTCAGTTGGGTCAGCTCATGGAACCACACCCACTAGCTGGATCCAGCCCTTGAGAGTGGGGCAAGAAGAAAAGGCAAAGGCAGGTTTCATAGTTCTGTCTGAGAAGAGGTAGCTGGATTTTTGAGAGGTAAGGCAGGAAGGCTGCCCCTTTCTTGTGCTTTTCTTCAAAAGCAGAGTTTAGGTTTAGAGTTATCTAAATTCTCCTCCTTACATAGATAAATTCTGTTTTTTCTCAAACCCCCAAATTTTTTTGTTTGTGTACATTTCTCATACACCTGGTTGAAATCATGCTCCTTGCAGCATAAGTAAGTGATAAAAACACATACTGTATGAAGAAAACCTTGTCAAAAAGATGTGTTGTGCAAAACTAGTGACCTTATCTCCTAATTAGGGAAAGTTCCCTAGATCTCTCTATCATGTAAGCAGTAACAACTTTTGTGAAGAAAAATAATTTTCCTAGAGTTAAAAAGCAAAGAGCTGCTACTCAGGCTCCAGAACATTAATTTTGAATCCTAATTCAGTGAGTAGCATGCTGTTTAAAATTGAATGACAAAATGTCCTTTTTTTAAAAAAAAACCAAAACAGTGCAATGAATTGTCCTTAAATTCTCCCTAAAGGACGATAACATTCAGATGTTTCTTGGCACCAAGTAGTTTCAATGCAGCCATTTAAGTGGCATTTCTTTCTTCAATAAGCATGGTATGTTATATAAAGTTACGTGGCTATTGGAAGGGAATTCCCATCCTGCTTTAAGGTAAGGGTCCAGAATACTACTGGGATTCTTAGCAGCAAATGCTCAATCGCAGTTCAGTAAGGTCATATAACCAAATTTCATATTTTCTCTTTTATTACATTCAACTAATAAATATTTGGGTCTTACAGGTTTATCACAGCATTTCAACTTTTCAGTGCTGCATGTAAAATATATATGCATACAGAATCTTACAAAACCAGAAAAAGAAAAAAAAGAAGAAAAGAAAAAGCAGCAGCAAGGCCACAATAAAAATGGGAAAAAAAGGTAGTCCTAAACCTCAGATGCAAACAGACTGAAAAGTGACGTTGAAAGATACGACTCCATTTTTAATTTGAACCTTCTCAACTAAGTAGAGCAGTTTAACATTTAGTTTCAGTGAACAGATTTGCACATCAGATGTTTCACTGCATTATGAATGGGACAATGTTAAATACGTTTTCACTGCAGCTCCACAGGTCACTGGCATGGGCACAAGACAAGAACATACAGTTAAGATTATTACAACATAGCTATTGGTCATGCAGATAGAGCTCTATGCTAACTAACATCATTTAATGCTAAGATAATGGGGTTTCATTACTGCAAATGAAATGAAAGGGCCCTTTCCTGTATAAAGACAACCCAAGCAAAGTCCGCACCTTTCCACCAGGCTATTAACGGAACTTCTTTTCCAACAGGATTCAAAAGAAGGGGGGCTTAAGGGAACTCACTGATAGAGCAACATGGTGAACGCAAACCTGTGCCATGGAGGACTTACCATCATCCAGGTATATCTGGTCCAATTCCTCAGGTTCTCGCTTGATCGTTACAGGAATAGGGGCCAAATTATGATTACTTTCCTCATGCAACTCTGGCAATGACAGTGGTTGGGTTGTTGGAGACTCATTTCTGTGAACCTTCGGCAGTTGCTGCTGCTGTTGACCCATTATGGATGAGTGAGTTGGACTGCAGGACTGCAAATAGGTTGGCTCTTGGGTAACAGATGGAACTGGAGAAGAGGGACTGTTGGGATAGAGTGTTTGTTGATAACCAAGGGGACAGCTACTGCTCAGATGTTGACTCACCTGCGGCTGCAGCATGACGTGAGATGATTGCTCAGGGGGGCTTGGGTGCACAACTATAGACCTTGGCACTTCCTGTATGGTGGGGACACCTCCAGCGGGCTGCTGAAGTCCGAGGTGACTGTGGCCCGGGTTGGGGATGCACTTGTAAGGAGAGGATGAAAGGTCGTGCAGCTTGGGGCTTGCGTTGGGAGAAGGTGACATCATGGTGTTTCTCTGCTGACAGGAGGCAAAGCCAGCCACGAGGCACGAACCAGGATCAGGGGGCATCATGATCTGCTGACTGTAGTATGGTTTAGAGAGAGGGCTTAAGCCTTGGTTCATTGGTCCACAGGTTTGAGCAGGCTCATAGTCATCTGTGGGTTCTGTTTTTATAATTGGAACTGTTAAAAGAAAAAAGGTTTTAAATAAACATGAGTTGCGTATTGGTATGATCAAGTTGGCTTGTGGCTAGGATACCCTTTTCAAAACAAACAACGTCGTGAATAAGACTCTGTGTGTCTTTTGCCTAGTTCTCCCACCCTATAAAAAAAATGAATGAGTCATCAGCACAAGAAAGTCACAGCTGGTTCTAATATTGAAAAAGACTATTTTCTTTGGACTCTCCTCCAGCACTAATGTGCTATAAAAATCTATTTGCAAATAGCTGTGCTTCAGTGGAAGCTTTGGACCCAAGGGCTCCATGGATTTGTAGTAATCAAGGCAAGAATTTTAACTTGGATAGACTACTGCATTTCTACAGCTACCGATGGCCCATTTGATAAATGTCTGTACACGCAGTAAACTGGAGCATAATAAGGTAGAGATGGGGCTTTTAGAGTTCAATGAAAATAAAGTTGCAAAGATACATGGCAAAGTGCTATGTACAAGAATTTTTCAATTAGGAAGATATTTTTGAAAGAGTAGGATCTGATTTGTTTAGTTTTTTTACATAATTGCATTTCACTTTTGCTAATGCCAACTCCTAACAAATGTTAGTCAGTCTCTGGCTACCAAGAAACACTGATTCCTGTTTTAGACCTCTGCTTGCTCTACCCACTGTCCCAAACAATGCCCTAATTGAGCAGTCACATCTCTAAAAACTACCAGAATGTGGACAGAAATGATTGTCAGTGAGCATCAACTCAGTGGTGACAAATGCAGAGCTGCTTTCTCCAATCAAGGAAAGATCCTTTGTCAAATTGAGGTGTCTTTTCAACATTTGCTTTCTCTCACAAATCAAAGAGAGCCATCTTTGAAGCTTCTCCTACAAGAGATGCAGTATACAGGCAAAACTGACCCACATTCTCTGTCAGGAAAATTACAAATAATAGAGCCAAGCTAGACCATAGATGTATTTTTTTCTAGTCAGATGCACCTCTAATGCATAAAACGATCAAGTATGGATGTATGGTGGCATTTATCTTCTTTCTAAAAAATTTCTGGTGACACTAGAGAATATTTTTTGTAATATTCCAATAACCAAACCATTGTGGCACAAAGTTAATAATGAAACTCTTTTCACAACTCAGCTCAGATACGTGTGTTGCACGAGTGTCTCTGATTGTATTTTTATTTGCATTTGTTTTACAAAACACACATTTTTCAGCCATTTATTATGTTTGTGTAGGAGTCTTTTTGAGCCCCTTAAAATGCACATGTCCATCTGTACATATAAAACCTCTTTTAACACCCACAGATTTTGTTGGTGGTGAATGCACTTCACTACCCTTGTTTTACAGTCCCCGAGCCCCTTGTTAACTTTGTTCCTTTTATGTTCTTTTACATGTAGATGCTTGCAACACTTGTTTCAAGATTTCTAGCACTCCCGTAAAAACAGGTCTATATATGTAACAGATGCACAGGTGCTGCTCAAGACAAATAGGCTAGGTGCAATGGAGTGTCATTGGATTTCTCATAATCTTATTTTCACCAGCTTGGGTGATGCACACTGGCTAGCAGGGCTACTAATGCATTTGGCTGGAGAGAAACAGATCCCATGTTCAGTGACAGCTTGACAAAATCACTATCACACCCTTTAGGAAAATGCAAGACTGAAGAAATGCACCTAGATAAACACAGCAACTCAGATATTGTAAGAAAATACCTTTAACAAGTTCCTGAGCTAGCAAATATTCTCATATGTTTTATATTAGGTTCACTGCGCTAGCATTAACCACAGCACAGCTGGAAATATGATGGTTGTTGAACACTGAATTTTCCCAATATATCACTGTTATAGAAACACCTGTGCTAAATAATTTCATGCTCAACCACTGGCAATACAACTCCAATAAACCCTGGAGTTGTCTGACTTGTTATAACCCAGGGAAGGATTATAGCCCTGGTGGCAGGCAGGTTGGAGGCTTTACAGAAGACAGGTTCCTGATCTCAGGATGGCTTTTCATCGTAGCTCTTCTGCAGCACACCATTGCACTTTATTGTCACTTCAGTCTGAGTTTTTTCTTTAAAAAAGCAATGCCATGGGGTCAATTTGGAGGTCTGGTTAATGGTCATGAATATTGTGAATTTTTTTTGTGTGTGTTGCTACACTGAAATACACATACTGCAGCCAATGGAAGACCACCAGTAAGTCCTGCTCTGCACAAGGTGAAAGACTGATGGGTGGCAGGAACTCTATTCCATTCCTGTTAGTCCAAAATCTCACTTGGAGATGGTGACAGCAGCCAAAGACACTCCTGGTGCCTACAAATTCGGATGGAAAACAGAGACTGGTCAGGGCTAGTCAGGGTTGTTTAGCTTTGAACTAGTACTTATGGGCATCAGTTATTTCATGTAATGGGAAACAAATTGTCTTTCAATGGACAAATACTCGATTTACTTATGCTTAGAGCTGCCTGAACTTGTTTAACTGAACTGTTTTCATTACCTTTTTTAATGTGTTTTTCAACACAGTAAAGAAAGTCAGATATTGCTGTCTTTCATATATTTTGTTTGTATGCTAATCTCATCACTAGAGTAAGTATCACACCAGAAGACAGAAAAAGTATTCCTGCTGAAATGGTGAAGGGATTCCTGCTGAAATGGTGACTTTTCTGTGTTTTGCCAGCTGCATAGCCATTAACCCTGTGCAGAGTGAGTGCGAGCATCATACAGACTGGGATGGCAGCCACTCAACCCCCTAAAAAAACAGCAAACGTCTTCATGAGGTACCAGTTTGGAGAAAGGAGGTCTGTAAGAATTTTTTTTTTCCCAAGAAGAAACCATTACTAATGATCCAGATGATCTGGAATTAGACCTGTAAAGCTGAGCACGTCAGAAGAAACGGAAGACATTAACATTCCCCTTCCGGCCAGATCTCAGCTTTAGTATTTTACATGAATAACTGTAGTATTTGACTTGGAGAGGACACAATACCACAAACTGCTGCATTACATCAGTTAATGGCTTGCTACTCTGTCCCATTACCTGCTTCTCCCCAGCCTATGTATCTTCAACAAACAGAGTAACAAAGGCCAGAAATATTTGCCAATCTTTGTATTTGCAAACTCAGCTCAAACTACCTGTGGGTCTGATCTGGTCATTCTGAAAATACTACTATTAGTAAATATTAATAAAGTATCAATTTTGATTGTGTCAGAAGTTGGTGTAAACCACCTTACATTTTTTCTTTGAAAGGGCAACTGTTTTTGTCCACTTTTCAAGAGACTTTAGAGGGCCCGAAGCAAGAGCTATGGATATTTCAAGGCACACTTCCCCAAACCAAAGCAGGAACAGCCTGTAACTGTATTCACTGGTTACCCACTTACCATCACAGTGTCTATTGTGTTCTCAAACACTGTAATGAGGCTACAAGGAACTAACACATCTTCACCCACTGTCTCACTGACTTCTGGGGGACTGAAATGCTCAGCTGGGGTGGGCAACTGTACCTGACTTCGAGCTTGATGCAAACCTTAGTACCCACCTTCACTGTTTTCTCCTAGATAAGAAAATCATAGAATACCCTGGCTTGGAAGGGATCCTCAAGGATCAAGTCCAAATCAGGGCTCTGCACAGGAGAAGCCTAGGCAGCTCACAGGGGGAACCCTCTTCACAAGACAACACAGCAGACAGCACTGTTCACAGGCCAGCTTGTGTTACCACTTATCTATGTATTCATGCTTGATGAACTGCCAGTCTTTACAAAACCAAGATTGAAAAAGGGGTTTTGAACCCTTTTATACATCCCCATGGAGTCATGGTAAGCTAGCTGTCATAACACACATCCACTTCCATCGTCACTAACTTCCACAAGTGAGTATTTCACAGAGGGAGATGCAATGTGATATAGGCAGCACTGCTAATTTTCTCAGGATTAATATTTAACAGAAAATAGTATTAGCCTAACTTTTAGCCCAAATATTTCAAATCTTGAATGACTTGGTAACACCCTGCCAGCTAAAAGGGACACTCCTATTCAGTCACCCAGCAGGCCTGGGCTGGCAATTAACTGCAAAGCCCTACAGCTGTTCAGAACCTGTGAACACTTTCAGCAGAAAGAGTCACTTCTTAAATCCAGCAGAGCCATACCCAACAGCAACAATTATTCTGTCTCAGAACTGCTCTGTGGTGCTGAGGTAGCACCCAGTCTTGCAGACTCTCAGCTGGCTAAAACAAAAAACTGTGACTGAATTTGTGATATACTGAGATTTGCCTATAATTGAGTGCAGCAATGAAGCCAGAATTTGTGAAATTGTAAACACAAAAGATGAGACTCAGAAGCCACATTATTCAGAGTGCTGAAGGATCTGGCCCTTGCCCTAAAAAGGTTAAAAAGAATGCAAGTTTGGTACAGTGAAATTTTTAATGCCTGTTACTTCACAATGCACAAGGTCAGCTGACAGACGGTTTTAAACAGTTCTTGATTTTGAATATTAAAATATGACAGAAGGCACTGTTCTAAATTAGTCTGATAAGCAAATTAATTTCAAATTGGTTTTCAATGGTTTGGTGATACCTTCTTAGACTCTGAACTCATGTCATTATGTCATCTAATTTAATATGAAGTTCTGAGAACCATGCATTGGCAGCAGCCCTAGCTATAAATCAAAGCTTCTTACTCAGAGAGATCAGGGTTATGACATCATACCAAGGCACTGGTGGAAGACAATGGTCCTTCTGTGTGTGTCTGAATCTGGGAGAAATATTTCAGCCAATACTGCAAGCTCACATTTAAATGAAAGGCCTTTCTAGCAGGTAAAACTGCTTAAAAAAATAATAAATCATGCACATTCAGTAAAAGGAGTCAGAAAGTGCTCAGATATAAACTATATATATTTTTTTGGACAATTCTAAAAGTGTGTGTTTGCTTTTACACTTCAGCAATACAGATGGGTTTTTAAACTTTTTATTTTTTGGGGGGAGAAATGTTATTAAAATATGTGAACTGAAAAAATAAAAT